GTTATTAGGAGGAAATGTTACTCTCCGGTCCCTTGATCAGTGCCACAGGAAGATATCACTGGTGAGTTATTAGGAGGAAATGTTACTCTCCGGTCTCTTGATCAGTGTCACAGGAAGATATCACTGGTGAGTTATTAGGAGGAAATTTTACTGCGCACTTTTTCAATAATTTCTCCTTGTTCACGTCGTTTAATCTTCTCTCCGTAATTATGTTTCAAGACTCGCAATCAAAAAAAGAAATTTCGATGGCAGAAATTCGTCTTAGTCACTTGTTTGTCTTACTTAGTCACTTGTTTCTTGAATCGTCATAGGAATTCCTAAATAGGTGAGAATGGTGGACACTTTGATTAAACTTACGACTTTTTAGACGTTTAGAGATATTATTGTTAGTGGCCCGTATGTAAACAGGGCACTTTCATTGTCAGTACTTTTGAAAAATGGTTGCAAATCATATTGGAAAAATTTGAGTTTTACCACTCAATCTTGATTTTAGTCAACATACATCATATAGTTTCTTATCAATAAATTGTTCTGAATATTTATATCATCAAATGTGTATAAACAAGAAGATTATTTTTGGTCGTTTTAAAACTGTTTTCAAAGTGTTTTTAACTGGACCACTAGATTACAAACAATGACAATTGTTCTGACACGTGCTAACAATAACTAGGGTGGACAAACTAGCTTAACATAGTTCAAATATCCTACATATTATACATAGTTTAAATATCCTACATATTATACGCTACGTTTTGTCGATATTTGAGGTTGTGTTTAAATACTAAAAACGAGGATTATGCAATGAAAACATACTACGTTATACGTACGTCTGAAATATTAAACGGTAGAACAATTTATCCCTCGATCGAGAAAAGTCAGGTGACTGAAAACTTATTTTGATAGCTATTTTGTTTACATGAAATGAACACCATGTCTGTGACATGGTGTTCCCTAAGGTCAATATGTACATAGTCTCTGTTTTGTCTCATGTCTGATTGACTCACGTACTGCATCAACGTATTCAGATTGAATCACTGAATCAGTTTAAACAGTACTGAAACTGTGTTTTTGAGAATTTCCACTTTGCCATTGTTGCAGTCTTGCAAGCACGTTTTAATTTTAAAAGCAAATTTCTTAACATAATACTCAGCATTCATGTTCTAACTTCTAATACATTTAGTCAAATGTTCCATTCAAAAATAGCTATTGAATTTCGCACTGTATTCATTTACCAAGCAGTAAATATCACCGCTGCAAATAACTAATATGATCGGATAACTTGTAATGATATGTAATAAGTGAAATGTGGAATGTGGAATATGTTTTATTTATTAGGGATTGTATTTCGTCTGCAATATATGGCCTATGGGTATGATTCTTCTGAGAGTATAGGTACTACATTTTCCTTTTATTCGAGGAGCATTATTGGTAAAATTTATGAATATTCGAATCGGTCGTCGCAACTCGCAAATTATGTAGAAAAATGATAAAATATATGATTGTCAAGTATCATAATTTGGTCCAATTACTCGATCCAAGAATTTACAAATATATATCACTTGCCCATTATAATTTCCCAGGGAACGCTGCATTTAGTAATTACCGTACAGCAGTTGCATAGTAACGCATTAATGCTGGTAAAAACTGGTTCATAAAATACCATCACCACCACGTCCTTATAGTGAATACCTATTATGCTTGTTATAATGAATACCTATTAATTATTGTGCTTGTTCGTTTAATCTGATTTATCATAACATCTTGACAATATGACAATTAAAATGTTATCACAATGTACAGGTGTCTGTGAGATTGAACCATCATAAATGTAACAAGCAGAATTTTAACCTGCCCTATTTCTGTCCTTCCTCGGAATATTTATCATCAAATTATATGGATCTTAGACTTCTGTCATTCATAAAATCAAGCCAACGCAATCTGGTGAGTAATGATTATATATAATAATGTACTTAATTTTTATGAATAACCCCTAGATATACTAAATACTTACTGTTTGTGCTGAATAATGAATATTATAGCCGTGTCAACTGTGAAGTAACTACTCAGTCTGATACACGGTCACTGTCCTAGGATACACAATACAATCAGTGTATTGTGAACTAATTGGTACTTTGTGTTTATTTTTTAGTTGCATGATATTGCTCATGAATAACTGCACAGTTCACAGTATCGCAGTATCACTGAGGTGTGTCCTGTGGGAAGCAATCTGGTGGTGAGAATAACACATACTATATACTACAGTGCAACTTGTTGTACTGCGTCCATCAAGCAGTACTGATCAATAATAGTAGTAGTAAGTAATAATACTCCCGCTACTACACTGGTTAGAGGTGTCCCAGTGTGGCGGCCACACGCAATGCTCAGAGTATAGAGTCTCACTTTCATATTGGACTGTGATCCGTTATATAGCTGATGCTGTGGAGGATACTGATTGACCAATCAAAGCGTGACATATGGTGCCTTGCCATGAGAAAGTTTAATTCTCTACTGTAGTCTAATTTCTATATATTTTTTATTTATTTGTGGTTTGCAAAATCATTGATCAGCTGCTGTTAAAGACCATTTACTGATTATAAAATCGCGAATATTTATATCATGACTGTTACACACATTTCAAATACAGCTGGGTCATTAAGTTCATGCCAAAGTAAATTACCGCCAGGCTTTACGCCTAGATACTCCATCTTACTTCCTAGTAATTCGACCGTTGCTAGGGATCGCCACCGTTGCTAGGGATCGCCACTTACAACATGCTTAGTCTTGGACTCCTGATCCGTTCTAGAGATCTTCAAAGGTCTACATAATATTTTATTTGGAACGCGCGTTGTACACAATTTTATATCTGCGCACGCATACAGGTTTTATCAAATACAATACGCGTAGAATTAACAAACGCACATGTGTTCAGCGTTTTTTGCACACCATACATCAGCTACAACGAATTGTACCTAACAATAATTTCACCACTATTTCAGTCCAGAAGAGCCCCTAAAGCGGAGTGATAAGAAAGAATCGAGACACCCCCTCCTCCCCCCTCCTCATCAGGTCCCTGTCTGTCTGCTCTCAACCTCCTCACCTTTTTAAGCCCTCCTACAATAACAGCGCACCAGACTTAGAACTAGCCAACAGGTTTGTGGGATTTGTTGTTATTTGCAGTAGACGTGTGGAACTTCAGTGTCGGCTCTTGTGTCCGATACCCATTTACCCACTCTGGTCTAGGACATGAGGGTGGAGGAAACAAAAGTTAAATCAAATTGTGTGGTGTCATTACTAGTTCTTTATTTATGAGGATATTTGCCTATTTGGTTCCACCCTCGTGTCCTCCGCTCTAGCGTCTTGTCCTCCGCCCTAATACCCGGTTCCCGGGTAAACATCAAATGTAGGCGTCTATATGAACGTAATGATCTTCACATATATTTTTCTATGACAAAGTGAGCTTTTAATGTTTTTTAAATTAAAAAAAAAAACATTTAATTATCTGCGAAATTTAGAAATTCAAACATTTATGAAAACCAATGTGATATAATATGCTATATATTGACTATAATTGATGTCCCTTCAGCCCCAGTTTTCCAATAGATTGATTATATGTGTCCCCTTGAGTTGACAATGTTTTCAATACTGCTTCGCTGAGGACCACAGATACTTTACACGATCAAGTAAGCAAGTATGAACACAAAGTTTTATTCCTGTCACATCTGAAAATCTGATACAACACCAGTATTGCAACCTGATTTTGGTTCTGACATTAGTTACACGAGAGAGATGATAGGTTAATTCCATGACAATTTTCGAAATGTTCGTGCTGGCTAGTAGCTGAGTAATCATGATATTTGTTGAATTTAGTGTTGATCTGTGTATCCTTTTCGAAATTTTGGGAAGTACAAATCAATCTTTCTTGTCTCGCATCACTGAGTCTTAAAATAAGGGTATATGAATTAGTAGTGCGCCTACGAATTAAAAGTGACCCTACTGTTTCCAAGAAATATAGTTTTTACAAGTTTTAATCAAGACCAGAGGACTCAAGATGTGGTAGCCTCATTGGAATACGATGTCTGTTTGTATCCTGATGGGATTAAAAGTGTAAAGATTAATTTTCCTGGTTGAAATATCTTATTTCTCTACCCTTTACCAATTACCGCCCATTCTCCTAAATTTGACCTTATCAAAATTTGACCAGCAATCCTGCAGATTTGGTGCTTATCTAATTATTGCACATGAAACCCAGACTCAAGGGTATAATTGGGAACTCCCTGCTTTAATAATATGAAATAAATGCACGATTTGTAGCACCATGCAATTACCCCTGATTGGGAACGTCCAGACCCGCCTAAATTTGTATTTAAAACGGTGATTACCTGCTAAAATTACAGTTCTAAAAGCAACCATTTCTTTGCACTTCATCAAAAGTTACATTTTTCTGCTTTGCCACCCCGTTTTATCAACTTTACGAATAATTCCAATATTTCAAACTTATCAAAAGAGCATACAGAATTACTCGGAGCCGACAATAAATCGTTTGGCACCTGTTTAGTGGTGTGTGTTCGATGTGATTAAATTTCCACTTTTTCCGTTCGGTTGCAGTCTAGTCGCTGTTTTATCGATACTAATTAGTGATTCCTGTAATTCTATAATTCAATTATTGACCTTGGTTTTACTACTTCAATCTGGGAAATTATCATCAAAACACATTTCCAACGTTGATAGTCAGCTCGTCATGTTGTTTGTCAAGATGAACAACTCGACGAAATTCTCAGAGTGTTTTTATTTTTAGCGGTTTAGTGTTGGCTTGTAGTTTATCAGGAAATGATGTTTTACTGTTACATTAACCTGGCAGCCCGCCATTCTATTAGCTGTTTCCTCAGGCTTAAAACTTCAATAAACTGTTGTGTAGATTCACTGCACTCCAGCTTGATTGATTTTAGTTTCGTTTTTTATTACTTTTATTCCACACTAACTAACCACAATATAAACTATATAGCGAGGATGGTACGACTAACAGCCACACTTTTGTGTGTAGCATTGTTCTATCTGGTTACTGCTGATGTTCCCTGGGTGGAACCTGGTCAGGGTTGTGTGCATGGTATCGGCGTTTACAAGGTCGGGGAAACTTTCAATAGGGAGTGTGACGATTGTACCTGCCAGGCTGACGGTAAGATATGGGATTGGAGCGAAAGTATATTGGAAATAATCTGAATATTACTGGTCTTTCTTAGTATTATAAATTTATAAATTTATATCGACAGTATTACGATGAATAAGTACTTCGTAGATAGATGAAGTTAAATACGGATATTTCAGGATCTGTGTCCTGTTTGAAAAATAAGAACTGTTGTCTCTACGCTGGAAGTAACAGTGAAACTCTACGAGCTGAAATAGGAGACTCCTTCAATGACGGGTGTAATCAGTGCACGTGTACCAAGTCGAGGAAGAACCGTGGACCCTGGGAGTGCACCAGGAAGATGTGTTCCTGTAGGTACAAGAATTGGAATAGCGTCGTGGGTTATGCCAACAGTGGGGATAGTGTTCAAGTTTACGATCCTAAAGGAGACGAGATGAGCTCTGAATATGGTTGCCCGAAGATTTGCACGTGCAAAGCCAAGAAGCGCGGCAAGAAGGAAAAGGTTGATTGCAGAAACGAGTTTTGTATTATGTTTTAAACTTAAAGAAGTTGTGCTGGAATAATTGAGTGTTGGAGATAAATGGACTAGATTAAAATGAAAGAAAATCACAAAATTTGATTCCATGAACAGGAATACTCTGGGTATATATATTGTATCGGGCGCACCAAATATTATTTTTTTAATTTTTGTTACCGGAGGTGACTGGAAATAGGCTTAAGTAGGAGGAAGCAGTTCAGTTTAACAGTTAAATGAATAGGGCTAGTTAAATTGTGATCCAATTTATTTCGTTTTTCATTCCTTTAATTCCTTTTTGTTATTATGCAGTTATTTATAGTTGCCCAAATCCTCGTAAATCTTGTTTTACTAAGTACTAAAAATAATTAACATTTCCTAAAACCGCACTAACTAACCCTAACTATAGCGAGGATGGTACGACTGACAGCCGCACTTCTGTGTGTAGCATTGTTCTATCTGGTTACTGCTGACCAGCCCTGGGTGGAACCTGGTCAGGGTTGTGTGTATGATATCAGCGCTTACGAGGTCGGGGAAACTTTCAATAGGGAGTGTGACGATTGTACCTGCCAGCCTGACGGTAAGATATGGGATTGGAGCGAAAGTATATTGGAAATAATCAGAATATTACTGGTCTTTCTTAGTCTTATAAATTTTTATTTTTATTTTGATGAACAGGCAGATAGATGAACTTAAATACGGATATTTCAGGATCAGTGTCCTGTGTGAAAAATAAGAACTGTTGTCTCTACGCTGGAAGTAACAGTGAAACTCAGCGAGCTGAAATAGGAGACTCTTTCAATGACGGGTGTAATCAGTGCACGTGTACCAAGTCGAGGAAGAACCGTGGTCCCTGGGCTTGCACCAGGAAGATGTGTTCCTGTAGGTACAAGAATTGGGATAACGTCGTGGGTTATGCCAGTAGTGGGGATAGTGTTCAAGTTTACGATCCTAAAGGAGACGAGATGAGCTCTGAATATGGTTGCCCGAAGATTTGCACGTGCAAAGCCAAGAAGCGTGGCAAGAAGGAAAAGGTTGATTGCAGAAACGACCCTTGTATTATGTTTTAAACTTAAAGAAGTTGTGCTGGAATAATCGAGTGTTGGAGATAAATGGACTTGATTAAAATAAAAAAAAAAAACACAAAATTTGATTCCATGAACAGGAATACTCTGGGTATACTGTATCGGGCGCACCAAATATTATTTTGAAAACCTTTTGTTACCGGAGGTGACTGGAAATAGGCTTACGTAGGAGGAAGCAGTTCAGTTTAACAGTTAAATGAATAGGGCTAGTTAAAATGTGATCCAATTTATTTCGTTTTTCATTCCTTTAATTCCTCTTTGTTATTATGCAGTTATTTATAGTTGCTCAAATCCTCGTAAATCTTCTTTTACTAAGTACTAAAAATAATTATCATTTCCTAAAACCGCACTAACTAACCCCAACTATAGCGAGGATGGTACGACTAACAGCCGCACTTCTGTGTGTAGCATTGTTCTATCTGGTTACTGCTGACCAGCCCTGGGTGGAACCTGGTCAGGGTTGTGTGTATGATATCAGCGCTTACAAGGTCGGGGAAACCTTCAACAGGGAGTGTGACGATTGTACCTGCCAGCCTGACGGTAAGATATGGGATTGGAGCGAAAGTATATTGGAAATAATCTGAATATTACTGGTTTTTCTTAGTCTTATAAATTTTTATTTTTATTTTGATGAACAGGCAGATAGATGAACTTAAATACGGATATTTTAGGATCTGTGTCCTGTGTGAAAAATAAGAACTGTTGTCTCTACGCTGGAAGTAACAGTGAAACTCTACGAGCTGAAATAGGAGACTCCTTCAATGACGGGTGTAATCAGTGCACGTGTACCAAGTCGAGGAAGAACCGTGGACCCTGGGCGTGCACCAGGAAGATGTGTTCCTGTAGGTACAAGAATTGGGATAACGTTGTGGGATACACTAATAGTGGGGATACGGTTCGTGTTTACGATCCTAAAGGAGACAGGAGAGGAGCTGGCAACTACGGTTGCACGAAGATTTGCACATGTGAAGCCAAGAAGCGTGGCAAGAAGGAAAAGGTTGATTGCAGAGACGAGCCTTGTGTTGCAATTTAAACTTCATATCAAGCAATTGTGCTGGAATATTTGAGTGTTTGAGTGAGCTTGATTGAAATTAAAGAAAAAAACAGAATTTGACTCCATGAACAACAAAATTTATAATTTTATACAATGTTTTATATAATGTATGTCTTCACTCCTAATAAAGTTATGATAATATGTAAGAATGGAGTACATGATTTAACGAATTCGGTTATGGCTTTATCAGTACTCGGATGTTAAAACTCTTATAATTAATGTTATCGAACTTATTCTTCTATGAATAGAACTATACTGGTAAACAAAAGAACGAAATATAAAAAACATATGATTAACTTTCTTGGTATAAACTAATTCACTAGCATCCAAATATTTTCACTTGTAACAAAGTCTACAAAACCTGTGATTTTTAAAGGTTGGCAACTTTTTCTCTACACCCCTTTCCAGCTGTGCTCATCCAGTCAACAACAGTCAACTTGTTGAGCCATTTAAAGAAAAATGTGGCAAATGGAAATTCATAAAACAGAGTACGCATACACTTGAAGACTTATAGACTCAATCAGCTCCACTTAACATAATACTAATACAAAGCCGAACAGCACGAGGTACGTACAAAAACTTATGGAACAAAAGTCTTGAAAACAAGCTGCTGTAAACCCTCCCCCTCCCCGTAATCAACCGCAAGTATTTGGAACCCCCCCCCCGCTCAGCTGATTAAGTAATATGTGAACGACCCCTTATGGCTGTAGCGACAGAACTAGTACATAGTAGTGAAACAAGGTGCTCCCACTAAATCGCTCGCCCAAATTAAAAAACATTCTTGTGAAAGGGCCCGAAGGGTGTGAAATTAATCTTGTTCGGTGTATTTTTGGACAAAAAACTATTTTTGTCACGTGACAGGCTAGTAGAACACGTGTTTTCATATGAATCTAGCAAGTATATAAGTACCTCGAAAACTCAACTTTTGAAAATTAGAAATATTCAGAAAATGTGTTATTGGACTGATTTGGGGAGCGATCTAGGGCTCTTTATTTATGTACAGCAGGGTAGTGCATAGAGTTCAGTTTAACAGCTCTGTTTTGATTATCAGAGGGTTCCTTTTAACACCTCTGTTTTGGGGAGGAGAGTTCGTTTTAACACCTCTGTTTTGGTTACAAGGAGGATAGTTTGGGAATTGTTTAGAGATTATTAGAGTTTATTATTGTTTATACTATCTGGGGATACTTAAGAGTGGGCCTGTTGGATGGCAGGACACACTTTTTGGTTTTAGTACAGTAGTTTAGTAATCGCAATTCTTAATCACGTATACAAATAAAAGTACTTTCACTTATCACCTTCCTGAACCAAATTGTAAGGAAAAGACCGTTTTATCACTCTCATAACTATTGTTATATATTTGGCATTATGCAATGGTCTCATAACACCTTTATGTATATTTTTCAAGCCATATAATGTTTATACGGTTCGTTCTGCTTGGAGTTGTCTTGATAAGTGCTAGTCTTGGGGTGGGCAGAGAACCTGGAGGAATAATGTGTCAATACGAAGATAGGTTCCTCGCCGTTGGAAAAAAGATCTACAATGGATGTGAGGTGTGCCAATGCAAAAGGAACGGTAAGTATATCATGATCTAGGCTCATGCTGATTCAATTTTCTTATTCTAGCTCCTTAGGGGCGTCAAAATATATAATTGCTCGTTCCTAGTTTCAAAATCGTGGCTGCATGCTGTCAACGGAAACTGTACAAACACTTTACAAGATCTAATTTTCCTCAGGAAAAATGAAATGTAGTGAAGAACCTGCATGTTGTCCATACCTTGACAAAAAAGGAAGGACAAAACTAGCTTCCCCTGGTGACTCCTATACTGATGGGTGTAACCAATGCACCTGTGGAGGGCGGTATGGGAGCTTGCACCAAGATGGCTTGTCCTAATAAATGTGCCTACAAGAACTGGGATATGGTCTCGGGGTATGCTAAAAAGGGGAAGGTTCATGCGTACGATGAGGAAAGGGACTGTCCAGTCAAGTGCAAGTGCAAGGTGAAGAAAGGACAGGCAACCCTCAAGTGTAAACCAGATTGTTATTAAACTGAGTTTAAGTTGATGGTTGCGATAAGCTGTTTTAGGGGTCGTTCACATATTACATAATCATTTTTTGGAACATTTTTACCCCCCCCCCTCCGTAATCAGTTTTACACATAGCTATTGTGTCAAAATTACACTAGCGTAATCATTCGGAAACCCCCCCCCCCCCCCCCCCAGCTGATTACGTAATATGTGAACGACCCCTTAATAGCATTGACAAAAAACAATCTATCTTATAAAAAATGAATAATATATTTAAAAAAACCATCCTTTATATGATTACATCCGAAAATTCTATACATTAAAGTTATTATTGTAACGGTATATTAGAATCAGACAGAAACAAAGTGTGAAGGACCTGAACGGAACCCCTCGGTTTCAGTTCCTTGTTTAACAGTGCCATACAGCAAGGACATTCACCGAGTTCGCCAAGGATGGGCACATAGCTCACTCCACAAGATGTTCTGTCAAATGTTGCTTATATACCGAGGATCTACAGGAAATATTTCCTTGTAGGTTAAGAGGGTGATCTGTAAACAGATAACTACCTCATTCCCAACTTACAGGAACTACAATTCCTATACTATCCCAACGAGCTACACCAAGCATATAAAATACTAGAAACCCGCTAATCGAAAGCTTTGTTGGAGGAAATTTAAAAAATCATTTATGTTTAAATTTCTCTAATCTCTAATCATCTAGCTCTATGCTCTGTACTATAGAAAGTATGGATTTGACAATGACAACAAAGTTGTATGTATTCAGATTCAATAAAACGATACTTTTTACTGCAACGAAAAATATCAATCACAACCAAAGTTATGAATAGTGATATCGTGAGCGTAAATGTGGGCTAGTCATGACGTTTCAAATATCACTATAAAGCATGGCAACGCGCGTTGCTATAATCTGTAGTTGCTAATTGCGTTGAATGAATATCAATAAGTGATAAGGGGCGTCGAGTTAAGCTTGGCAAGGGAAAAAAGGTGGAGTCGATATCGTGTCATGAAGTTCATCAAAGTATACCACTAAAAGTATAATACATGGCTCACATCAAACAGTGTAATTACTATGACAAAATTTACCGGAAAAATGTAATCGGCAAGACGAGAGGCCGACTTCCAGGCCCCCTCATTATTAGGGGGCCCAGGAAGATCAGATCATGTCACTAATTAGTGACGTATAATTAGTGATGTGATCCATCAGTAGAATTTAACTGACCTAGAAATGGACTAGATACAGGGTAGAGTTCACGTGTACATCATAGCGGTGCATTATGATTAAGAAGTAAACATGATCTTTAAGATTTGACCGCTCGACTCGTATATCACATAAGGGACGGGAGCTCTTGCTAAAGGGGGGTTCTCGTATCTAGGGATGTGAGACGTACGTGCCAAAGGCATGCAACGGGAGTGAGCCGATCAAGTGTTCTTAGGTATATATATAGATATCACCGCAGCCTTGAGGGCGGTACTAAATATTGCACGCGCGTGCTATATTTTATATCTCCACGAGGGCGACAGCCCGTGAGCCCGTGAGCCCGAGGCGGAGATATTTTCGTATAGCACGGAGGGCCCAACGGGCCCGAGTGCTATACGATAGTTCCGCCCGCGGGTCGAGGAATGATATCGTGTATATCCATGAGCGGGCGCTTTACAGTTTTCAACAATCATAGCAAATAGAAGTAAAAGATTTCGAACTAAAGCTGCAAATTTAATAGAAAATCATGCTTTAGCCTTTGGTGTAAGATGCAGAACAGGGCAACATTACTGATTATATAACACAATAGAAGAATTGAAATCCCACGTACTATAATGGTATTACACACCAACCATATTGATGAACAGTCAACGGGATGTTAATCATTAACATAGATTAAAAATTGTGTATCTCCGTCAATCCATACTACGAGTAACACAGAATTCCTGTTACCATGACAACACGTCAGATGTACAATGAGAGTTAATCAGTACACAGTGTGTAGGGCCGGTCAAACAATAAATTCAGCTTAAACTATCAAAAAGAGTGCTCGCCATAACTTTAACAACTGTGTAACTATATAAACTGAATGCCATTTGCAGTTACCAAGAGAGCTCAAGATAACGAAGCACGAAGGGACATTGAATAATATATACATATATTTTACGTTGAGTAAAAGATCAAATTCATAACATCAATATTAGTGGTAGACGGTATAGTTTCAAAACAAAAAAAACCGGGCAAAATTTCTTTCGGGAACACAATAGAATTACACGTAAAGTTCCGGCCTAAATTTATTACTCGAAATAGCTCGAGCAATTATGGAAATGGAAATCAGTTGAAATAAACAATGGAGCGTGTATGGTGTATACTGTATAAACATCAACTCTAGACTTAAAGTCGCCACTAATTGTTGCAACCATGGTAACACGTCACGTGTTCAATGTCAGCCAATCATATTGCACTGCACGTGGTATAGGGACTGAGGCCGATAAATGATACAGTGCATTCCTTGACCGTGGGAACCATTAAGATGTAGTGTCAGTGACATAAATATGGTGTACGTGTCTTGTAATAGTTAAAGTTTAATAGTTTAGGCCCCAAAAATTTGTTTGAAAGTGAAAGTGCTCCGGGCTGTATTGTTACTTGTCACGTTAAGTGTCATCTGCTCGCGTGCTGTATTTTAAGCGGGCTGGACGCGCACTGTGTCTTGTTACATCGGGCTGCGAGAGGTCAGAAGACAAAATATAGCCCGCTGGTGGATATATCAATATACTGGAAGATGATAGACAATAGTATCGCATTCTATCAACATGCCTACCTTCTCCAAATTCATCTCTGGTCGGACAGGATGTCAACAGCTACTCGACTTCAGTATTCAGTATTCAGTATTCAGTTGTATCACGTGGTGACCCCCACGGTCGTTTCACTATAGTAGCGTCTTCGACGCTACAGGGGGAGCCGCGCACTTCGTGCGCGGCGGGTCATACAACGTATGACAAGTATTCAGTATTCAGTAGGTATTCAGTATTCAGTATTCAGTATTCAGTATTCAGTATTCAGTATTCAGTATTCAGTATTCAGTATTCAGTATTCAGTATTCAGTATTCAGTATTCAGTATTCAGTATTCAGTATTCAGTATTCAGTATTCAGTATTCAGTATTCAGTATTCAGTATTCAGTATTCAGCATTCAGCATTCAGTATTCAGCATTCAGTATTCAGTATTCAGGGCGTCTACGTGTTTTATCAACCGCAAGAAATTCGTCGACTCTCTGGCCAGTACATGAACATTAAACATCACT